TAAATGAATCGGGGAAATGTAATGTAATCGGGGTACAGGATTTGTACTTTTAATGAATTGCAAACCATTTAATCCAACTGAAGCCTGCAGAAATTCCAGTTTCACGGTTTCACCTGTACAAATGTTATAATTCCACGTAAATACTTGCAAGAAAATGTTATCACATCTTCTATAGATGTTTGTGTATTTATGAAAAATTTAAACGTACGATAATTTATTTTTGTTGAAAAATAAACGTAACATGGAAAAATATAAATTTTCTAAAATATCTGAAACACTCGTTGCAAAGAATAAATCACACTTTTATTTAGCATAATTATGTTTACTTTACACAATCAGGAAAAAAATATATAAAAATTAAAGTAACACATTTTCGACATTCTCTTGATAACGATTTAAATTATTGTTGTCTCGTTAATTGGAGCAAGAACTAAACACCCACGTGGAGGAGAGTGGACATCTGGACTAAGGGATCATTTAATTACGGTTGACTGACACGAATGTACCGTACGTCTGACTTTAAGCAGACAGGCGACATTAATAGGAAACGCCTCTGAAAATTTATTATTCGGCTGGATCAAATAAAAAAAAAAAGTTTTTCCAATTATTTTTCGAATCTATGTAAAGAGATGCGAATGCGAGAGCAAGAAAGAACGAGGCATTAAGATTCTTTTTTCCTCAAAGAAACGAATTTTTCATACTCTTGACTTTGAAAGGAAAGATCCCCTTTTTTGAATTTTTTATTCTTTGGATACAAGTTTCAAGAATTTTCTTTGGAAACTTTCTCAAACTTCGAGTCTTGTAACACTGAATTCTAAATCTCATTCGATTGATACATACTATATTTCTAGTTTTTTTTTTTTCAAGAAAATACTCGAATATCAATATAAAAATATAAAACGAGACACAATCTACAATATGATTATGTTATTTAAGAGATTCTTTCGTACAATTATTATTAATATAATAACTATATAATATCATAACATATATTACAAATTTGCATTTATATAAATTCATTGATATAGAACAAAGTTTGGTTCATCAAATCATAAACATCTTCATTTTCCCTTGTATTTATATATTACAAATTTGCATTTCGGTGATATAAAACAAAGTTTCTGATACAACAGGAAATATTCAATTGAAGCCTTATCAACTCATAACCAATTCCAATTAGATAAAATGCGATTGCCCAGTCTTCTCGATTCAATTACTCATTTTCACATCTCTTCACAACCTCTAAAAGATACCTATAAAAAGAAAAACAAGTATGAAATTTTCTCGAGAATTATTCGAATTGAAAAAAGAAGAAGAAGAAGAAAATTATTCGAAATTAGAAAAATAAATTGATACCCTCTCAATGGGTTCGTCAATGGGTGAAGCCAGACGGAAACATTTTTCACGGTTTGGGTAAACGGTGCGCGGCGTGCAAGCGCCGAGAGCCACCCCTGTTCGGGGGTGGCGGAACTACAGGGTGGCCAAGAGCCACAGTTGGTTGCGGGCTGTCGTCCTGAGCACATTACGCGTCTTCGACCTCCGCCACGCGACCTCGTGCATCATCCCCCGCGCGTCGCGATTGCGTGATCAAACAATCGCCAACCCCTCGAGGAACCATTTGTCGAGCCCGCCCGCCCTCCCCCTCCCCTCCCCCTCTGTTGTGCTTCCGTATTCGAGTGAGTGCGTGGGACACGTGTGTAGGTGCGTGTGATTACACGTACGTGAAAATCGAGTCGTCCTTTCCTCTCTCTCTCTTCCTTCCCACCATTCTCAACTTTCGATTTGGTAAGATTGGGGGAGGAGAATTAATCTCTCATTGCTCTTACCAATCGGTCAATCGTCGCGGGGGAAGGATTCCCCTTCGAGGAGGAGGATTTTCAAGCGGGATCTGAAAGAAAAAAGAAACCGATGAAGGGATCTCCTCTCGTAAGGATTTAGGGGAAAAACACGAGAATAATCCACGAGCGCATAAGAAAAGAACTGCTTACCTTTCCAACTCGATTTCTTCGAATCGAATATTTTTCCCAACGTTTTATCGGTGCCCTTGGAAGGAAAAAAGAGAGAGAGAGAGAGAGAGAAGGGAAGAAGAAGAGAGGAAGGGGTGGGGAAGAATTGAATTTAGAAAGCTCAATTGCAACGAAATAATAGGTTGTCCTCGCATTTTTTAAATGTCAGAGGACAGACAGACGCTCGCTTCCCCGGCGGGAACTTTCGATTAAAATTTTATCCGTGAAATGTAATCCGGTCGTTAAACAGTGGAGGAGGGTGATTCGTTGGTCGTACCCTTATTGGATCGCTCTATGTAACCCGTAACATCCGGTGTTTTATTCCGAATGAGATTCTTTTCTTCAGTTGGGGAAACTGAGTTTGAGAGAGAGAAGAAGAGAAGAAGAGGAAGGGCGAGAGAAGCGTATCCTGAAACAATCTCTCGTCAGAGATTGAAGGAAATAAGAGAAGGAGGAGGAAAATAAGGAGGAGGGGGATCGTCGAGTTTGGTTTGCTTTTCGAGTGGGTGGAGTGGAGATGAATGGAAGGAATATCGAGAGATTCACGAGAAGGTTGAATTCTCTTCTCTTCCCGAATAGATTCGAAGAGGCATTCGGTTATTACGCGGACACTTGATCGAACACGCATGTTTCTCGAATATTTTCTGTCGAAGGATGCTGATATTCAGAGAAGGGTATATCGAGATACTTTTTTGATCATTTTTCGAACGTTTGAAAAATTGCACGAGACGATAACGAGCGGATCGTTAAGTTAGCGAAGAATTTTTCTTGCCATCCAAATTTTCGTCGACACGGGTGTGTTAAAGCATCGTTATACAAAGCGACAAGCTTTGGATCACCGAAGCGATTAGCAAAGGAGAGAGATTTCTCTAAAATTCCTCTTTTCGTTGTTTTTGTCAACGCATTGGATCATTGCATAAAATTGAATCAATTAACGAAAATTCGACGAGCAAATATCTCTTCTCTCTGGCTTCTTTTCCACTTCCACCTCTGACAAGCCTTTAAAGCTTCCTCCAGTCGAGGATATGTTATAACGACAACGATTGAAAATAATAATAATAATAATAATAATAATAAAAAGTATATCGTTTCGAGCGATTGGAGAAAGTTATTTCGAACGAGCGTGATCGCTGGTGAGCGTTTGGAAGAGAAATATATAAGGGAGAGGAAACCCTTGGGGCCAGACGTTGTTCACCATTCGTGGGACGTATGCTGGCTGTCCAATGCCGCGCGCTCGTGTCGCGGCGATCGACAAAAGGATCCAACACTCGTCGAGAATGCCAATCTCGTCGACGTGGCTGGCGTGGAAAAGCAAGAGGTGTAATCCCTTTAAAAGAGTCTCGAGGTGAGCCACGACGTTGAGCCTGACGTCGAACTGGAGAAAGACGTCGAAAGGGAGAAAAGATCGTGCCCCCTCTTGACTTTCTGAAGGAGGAATCTGACTTTTTTTTTTTTTTTCTTTCACCACAGAAAATTGCTATTGTTGTTGACAATTGATATTTTCATCGACGCTTTTATTATCAATTTAACACTGAAGCTGAAAGAACTCTTCGAGTTCTGGAACAGAAAACTTTTCGATGTGCGGATAAATAATTGTTCTGTGATAATTAATTGTGTGAAATTTAATTATGGAAGAATTTTTTTGAACTCTCAACGCTTCTCTCAACGCTTCTCTGGATCCGTAGATGATATTACAATTTGGAATTATTCGTTTTAAATTTTATAAGATTCGAAGTTTGAAATAATGAATTTGTAAATTTTACAATTACAAAATGTCGTAGATGGTGGAAAATTCTTCGAAACCTCTGGAACTTTATTCAGCTTTACGCTACAAGATTCTTCGATACAGGAATTTTTTATTTCGAATTTATGAATAATTATCGAATTATTGAATTAATCGTAGATGTTGAAGAGTTCGCCAAATTCTGGATTGAACAAAATTTTGGAATTTCGTATCACGAGAGCGTATCGCGAAGGAACAGACTCGCGTGACAAAAGAAATCTGATTTCGAGAAGAGAAAAAGGAGGGAAAAGAAATAGCGCAAAATCGTTTCCTACACACTGGAAAGAAAGAGATCTTTTGTAAACGTTCATAATTTATAGTTTCTGTTCGAGATTGCAGTCTGAATTACAAGCAGAAATCATGTTTTGTGAAGATCGATCTTTCGGTTTTTTCGTTAATCGTGAATAGATTTGCACGAAGATTAACACGATCAGATGTGTAAGTTGTGAGGAGAGAGCTCGAGATTTAATTTTCTTTTTTATTTTTTTATTTTTTCAAGAATTTAAATTTTTGGAATCGTTAAAAACACCTTTTCATGAATCTCTTTATGGAAGAGGTTAGAACTAATGAACTCGCGAATGTGATAACTCGTAAATTTGAATTTACGAAAGTATGGTCAACGAGAATTTCACGGAAGATCGTCGAAGAATACAATCCTCGATGCTCGTGGACAGTGAGAGTGTCCCAAAGACTCGTTTATGATACGATATTAAGCTTGAACTTGGCTGTTAAAAAAAAGAAGAAATTAGAAGTGTATCAGAATGCCACCAGTGTCTAAATAGCGCGTCCAAATTCAAGAACAATAAATATATTTTAGAAAGTTGTGAATTGTGGACAGGTTCGAAAGAAAACTGAAACTAGTATCGTCAAACAGTTTTTCCGATTTCGCCAAGAATCCTAAAAATCCATCATTTTCTTTAAATTATGATTAAATTGTACCAGAAAGAACATTTTTTCAATATTCAAATATCGTTTACGTCTCACGAACCAAGTGTCTTATTCAAGAAACATCCTTCCTCGAATCGATAAACCATAAAAAAAGAAACCTAACCTATCCCTTAAACAACCTCATCAAAAACAAACGAAACGTTATCCAATATATTGAACAATATCTCCAATATATCTCTAATCAAAATCTTCGTTTCATCTTCAAGATGTATTAACAAGATACACTTAAACTCCTTTAAAATCCTTGTCTTAAAATACAAAATACAAAAATCGTGTGATCGAAAAGGAAAGGAGAGAGAGAAAGAGAGAGAGAGAGAGAGAGAGAGAGAAACAGTGATCGTAGATCCTGAGACGACCATGAACAGAAGGGAGGATCTTCCGACGGTGGTGGGTCAGGTGAATGGAAGTTGGAGCCGCAAGAGAGCTTCGGGATGCTGCACGCTGTTATGCTAGGTAGCGGTCCGGGTCGAGGGAGACACGAATGGTATCCGGGATTTTATCTGCAACGTCGACGACTTGGATGCAGGATGAATCGTGGAGAGCAGGAGACATTATTCAGGCAGAGCAGGCAGCTCACGAGGATCGTGCCGTCTCACGAGGACCTGGTGCTGAGCGTGCTTAAGTCGCCGATCAGCCAGCACCAGCAACAGCAACGCCAGCAGTATCATTCCACGCACCATTCTCACGAGCACCATGTCAACTGCCAAGGTCATCAAAATCATAAGAAGTGCACGCATTCAGGTATACTTGAATTAATTGGGGAGCAATCTTGTTGTTTATCTCTCGTGGACATCGGCTTTCGTGACGATCGGCTAATTCTTGGCTGCTCACTGGAACAAAAAAACTGGGGATGTAGGTTTTTAGTAACTTTTCTTTTCTTTCGAGGTGATCAAAAAGGTTAGAAATCGCGGTTAAGAAATGATCGGGTGATATTTCTTCAAATGATCGTTGGAATTATGAAAATAGTTTCTTTTTTTTATATTAGAAATCATCACTGAATGATTCTTGAATCTATTCATTGGAATTATACAGATTTTTGTTTATTGATTGGGTAATGGAAATTTCTTGTTTTGGATCAGGAATTCTAATTATAAATTAGTGATTCAAGTGATTCGAGTGATTCAAAACATGCTAGAATCATGAAGTTATTTATAACAAAACAGGATATGTATATTAAATAAATTTCCTTCTAAAATAACAAAATACGAAATTTTTATAAAACAAATTATAACCAATTATAATCTCCAATAAAAGTAATTTTTGTTTATTGATAATTAATGATGAAAATTTTTAGGTTATGAATGACTATTATCAATCAGATTAGATTCAAATAAAATTAAAAAGGTAAAAAATAAGAGAATGGATTTTTAAATTTATTTTTTTTTACTTACGCACTACGTAAATTTCCAATTTGAAAATCTTTCATTATATTTTTCGTTATATTAAGTATTGAAATTTTGTCACTTACGATTACTTTGAACTAAATCTAATGTCTCGTTTACAAAGAATTAAATTACGTTGGTAAGTTTCACGCAAAGTCTGGAAATTTAAAACACAAAGGCGTCTGCAAAGCTCTCAAAGAGGAATTGTAAAAGTCCCATTACCTGCGTTTTCAAAGTAGCTAAAAAATATTCCGAAACTATTAAGCATCGTGCAAAGAAACATCTCGCTTTAGAGATTATTTTCACACGTTGTATTACGTGCTCGTTTCTATGTAGAATTTTTGTTAATTGAATTTTACATTACGTATTCTGTCTTTCCAATACATTAATATTCGTTGTTTCATAATGTTATATGCTTGTGCATTAAAATGGAAACAATATCTTATTATAGTTAATATGAAAGTTACATCGGGATAAAATAATTTTGATTCAAAATAATAAATACCGATATGATTCGTGATATTTCTTAAAATTATGAGAATATTCATTTCAAGTTTAATTTTTTTTGAAAGCATTAACAACACACAACACACTCGCAACTTTTCCAACAATTAACGGTAACCAATGAAACAATTCAAGTTCGAATAGTTTGAAAACGAAACGTTCGTGTCTCGTTAGTTTGGATCAGAGAGCGTGACAATACGATCAAAACACGCATGCGTGAATTTCTATCTTTCGCAAATAGGATACAGTTTAACCGACTTTGAGAACACATTTTCTATACACTATTTTTAGTACTTGGGTTTAAGAGATAATCAAATATTTTATGCTAGAAGTTGTAGTAATATTAGAAAAAAGAAAAAAATGGAAAGAAAAAAATACGAATCGAAATATCAAAGGGTAGGAAGCGCAGTTTGAAAGTTAAGTTAAGCCGTCTGATGGCTTTTAGTCGGCTCTCGTATCACAGCCGATGTTGGAAACTAGGCAACAAGGTGATTTTTAGCTTCTTGCTTGGTATTATACTCAAAGCTTGGAAGTCGCAAAGATTAATCTTTCTACTTAAAAAAAAAAAGAAAAAAAAAAAGGACAATTGATTTCGCGAGCACGTGGAATAATAATTTTGTTTTAGTTTTGCTGTATATATTTCAAATAATTTATGAAAGTGAAGAAAAACAAGTATTTTTCAAATATATATAGTGATTTTATTCTGCAATTTATGATATAATTTATGATATAAAAGGAAAAAGATTTGAGAAAAATTATGATAAAATAAAATACAATTCTATTTAAAAAGCAATTCTAAATTATTTTTTGCCAGATTGCTATAACATTTGCTTTTCGATAACATTTTTTAGGAGAAATTTATGGACGATCAGAAAAAGAATATTTCTTCTCGATAAAAATATTTTATTCTTATTGTTAGGTTAAAAATAAACAAGAACAAAGAGATATTGCCTTGTTAGATGGCCAAAGAATGCACACTTCCTCGTTATTCGGTGAATGAAATACGATGTTGATCCTCGATTCTTGACTTGACGATTCGTCATGAGAAGTTAGAAAGCTTGATACGCGAATGTCCCTATTAATAGGATATCAAGGGAGTTATATTTATTTACAATCAATAATATTGTAGATATTTCTTTTATCTTGCGAATTCTTCTTTCATGAAGAATTTTGCACATGATTTAATGATATATCTATAATTTTTCTTTTTTTTTTTTTAAATATTCGAATATTTGAAATATTCATCGGACGATAAACAAAATGAATAAAATGTTTATTGTTTATTGTCGAATGATTTCTACAAGTGTTATTCGTAATTACATTTCAAAAGTATTCGCGTTTAATTAAATTACAAAGCTGCAGGAATCCCGATACAAAGTTGCGGTAAAATATTTCCAAATTAGGTTAATGCAGTGAACAATGTACTTTCATTTTATCAGAATATTTTTTGTTTGAACAACAGAATAGAGGATATACATTTTTTTCCAATTTTTCTTTCAGTATAATGGTTTCGAAAAAAGAAAAATTGGTACCTTTCTTGTTTAGATATTGTCAGTCGAATGAAGAGAAATAATATATCGAATTCTCGCTAATGTATAATCACTTTCAATTAGAGATATGATAAAAATTTATACATATAAATTTATACATTCTTCCAGTGCAAAATTATAATCTTACAAAGATCTTCATATTCTGAATATTCAACAATTTAATCGCACTTTAATAATATTTTATTAATTGAAAATCGATATTCCAAAACTCCTAAAAAAATATTTTTAAGCCATTAAGCGTGTGCACAGAAGAAAGTTTCGATTCAAATTAGACGTTTGTGCTATTAATACAATCTAATTACTTCTACCACGAAAATTCGCCTCTATGAACTATAATTACATTCGTTCCTAATGCTCTCTGTGTGACTAACTGTCTTTCTCTCTCTTCAAGATGTTGTTCACCTTTACTTGCCTGCAGTTGACGCTGGGAACTTGAATTATTCGTATTTACGGTTTAACGTTGGGTTTAACGCATTCTTAACAAGACTTCCGTCCGCTGGTTGAATTGCTTATTCGAGGGATCCGTGAAATTCATTGTCTGGAGGATTAAAATGGAATTATTATACAAAAAAAAATTTCTTGGTATTTAGATAATTTTCAGTTTTTTATAGTTATAATTATATCGTAGTTTAAAAAAAAGAATTTATCTACCTTCGTTAATTATACTATCTCTTTCATAGAGAGGATTTCGATCCTTTTTCATTTGTAGGAAAATTATATTCTTCTGTTCGTTGCTCAAAACAAAGAATTTTTTGAGTTAATATGGAGAATAATTATTTGAACAATTATTTGAACAATCTGCATTTGATCGAACCTAATTTTTAAATATAAATATTGTATAATATATATGCATAATTAAATTTATGCATATTAAACTTACATTCAAATTAGAAATTTAACGATGTTTTCTTCCTCTTCTATAATATAGATGAACACGTATATGAGAACACGATAGTTTTGTTGCTTAGAACGTCATCAAAGATAATACGCCGCATTGTTCAGGGATATAATCTAGATCAGAACGTAATTATTATATTATCGATCACGAGTATGAACGTCATTGACCTTTCCACCACGTCCCTGTAATCCGTACAAGATAGCGAATAAATTCACAGGTGGTGCGGATAATCTACAGCCATGTGAATAAGCGGATGGTTGCGTTAATATTTACACTTACCTTGTCAACGTTTCTTCCTTCGTGATTCTAGTTCTTACTTCTCTTATTCTTCCTCGTGTGAAAAGCATATTATATTTTAACGATATTTTCATTCTGGCGTTTTAATTGCAAACCTCTCGATTTCGATTTGGTTTAATATTGGTTTGATTTTCGTATCGATTGGAATTCTTTCTGAAGATTTCGATATGCTTTCATACAACATTCCATAATTGTTAAAGATGTCTATTAAGAACGTCTAAGAATTTTCAGATTAACTAAATTGTCAACTTTGATTTTTATAATTTGATACATTATTTTTATAGAGAAATTATATAATAGATTTTATAAGATCGTTAAAATTGAAAATTTAGGTTAGAAACGTCAATAACCAATGGTTGAAAATATCAATAAACTTGAGAAGGAAAGGAAAAAAGAGAATTGCTTCCTTTCTGATCTTTTTCATTCTTTTTCTTTTTTCTTCGAAAGCAGCAGCAAATCGGTTTCGTTCGAGGCAGAGTAGTTCTCGATGAATATCTCACAGTGCACTATAGTACGTTCGAACTTCCGATTCTACGTTCGTTAATGTCGCAGAGAAATTGCATATAATCGTTAGAATTTATCTGCATGCACTATACAGACGGTCGCTGCTCGACGAAGAAAGGAAGTGCTAGTGATGAGCGTGCAGATAATTCGAAGCAATTTATCGGCGTAGCGTGTACAGGTATCTAACGTCCACGTGAACCGTGCGCAACTTTTTATTTCGATCCGTGCACCAATCTTCTCGTTGGACAACTGTAACCACGAACCTAGTTTAACCGAATAAATGATGTAAGCGCTATTTGGTAATAAAAATCCAAGAGAAAAAACTTCAAAGTTAATTAATCGCATGATATTTTATGTTGTATGTATAGTATACTCGTTTCAATGCTCTAAATATTGGTCACATCTTTCTATCTTCAATTACTTCCGAATTGACCTGAATTGTATATTCGATAAAAATCGATATTCAAAATCGACTCGAAGCATTAAACTATGTGAAGTTTGGCATTCAAGATTGCGAGAATATCCGAATTTGCCCGAATTTTCACGATTCGACCCGAACTCGCATGTCACGTTTAACTAGTTTCGTACGTTTCTGTCACAAGGAAGGACATTATTTTTCGCTTTTATTTTATTTTGTATTATATTTTTGATTATATTACTTATCATTATTTAATGTTACGTTTAATAATTTGTTATATATAAATTTTTGACGTTATTTGATTTAATAATGTGTTGAATAAAATAAAAGATTACAAATTTTGTTTTCATTCACAGATAAGATAATTTTATATTTGTGTTTCGAATATTGCTGATTTTTTGGAGATTGATGGAATTGAATCAAGGATTCAAACCCTTTTTACTATCGTATATAATTAGTGTGTAGGTGGACGTGACCTTTGGATCTAAATCCCAAGTAGTTTTTTATCTTGGAAATAATGTTGGGCGGTTAAAGAAGAAAACCACGGGAAGGTTTTTCACGATTCTTTCTTGTATAATTGTACTCGTTAGAAAGCTTCATTTAACATATTTTTATATAGATAAATGTGTACAGATATTTAATCATTTAAAAAAGTTTTTTTATTGTTGAAGAATTTTTAAAAATAAATTTAGTATTTTCATGTTTATTATAAATATCCAAATTTTTTAAAATTTCTATAGTTTTTTGCAAAGAAGTATGAAGTTTCAATAGTAAAATGTATTTTTTTTACCATTGCACAGAATAAAACAAAGATAAAAGACTAAATTGATTCGATGATATTAGCTTTAATTACAATTTTTTATGATATACATAGGAATTTGATAAGATGAATGATATCATTATTATTTAACAATTGAGCAATTCGATTTTGCATAAATGTAGACTTTGAAATATTATGCTATAATGGTAAATATTATCATAATAAATGATAATAAGAGGTTTTAGAATTGAATATTATATTAATACATTAATCATTCAATAATTAGTGAATCTTTGAATTCTCATGAAATATATTGTAATTCAACTTTGATTTTATTCTAAAAGTCATTTGAATGGGAAAAATTTCATTTTTAAATATTTTAATTGTTATGACAATTTTTAGTTCTGACAATTGTTAATGACAATTTTCAATATTCAATCTAAGAATTCATTAGATGATGAAATAGAGATGTTAATGAATAACAGTGAATTTTTTAAGAATTATGAAAATTTAAAATATTGATACAGTTTGAAAAATAAAGTTTACACAGAATGAAACTTATTTCTATGAAACAAGAAATATATTTGATTAAAAAATTAAAAATATCAAAAAAGTAAAAATTATTTCAATAATACAAAGAAGATTATTATCAATATCTTATATTTGATAAATATTATTAAAATTTATTAACTTCTATTTCTATTCTAATTGAAAAGCAAAACTATATTTCTTTCAAAATTCAAGACTTTTTTAGTGGAAATATTCAGTAACTATCAGATTTTCATCTTTTAAACTTTTCCAATCAATTTCTATCAAACAAATCCTCAAAAATATTAGAAATTTAATATCACATTCGTTTTTCTCAGATTGAGTTTAATCATTTTATAAAGGAATAAAATTGAAAGAATATTCAAATGTTTCTTTATTATATTTTTTATTGTATTATACCAATAAAAAAAAAGAATTAATTATAATAAATGAAAAACTTATGCTTTTATACTTTTTAAATAGATAGATATATTCTTTAACACCTAAATTAAAACATTTCTTTTATTCTATTCAAAAACTTCAATTTTATTTAACTTCATACAATAAACAAACAAGAAAATTTTTTTCAATAACTAATTTCTTTTTTATAAGTCATTAATATTGTAAAATGCTTGAAAAATTAATATGTAGTTATAACAATAATTTTCTTTTGATGAAATAATTTAATTTAAATTTTATTTTTTAACGAAAAGTTTAACATCCATGAAAGTTTTAATAATTCCCTAATTAATTCTGTTTAAAATAAAATTCATTATAATATATGTTCCACATGTATGTATTTGAGAATCTGTTCTGCATTTGTATAAATTATTAGGTCATCTCGTTACTGATATTATTTTTACTCGTCTCGATCAAGATGGAATACAATTTCATACAACATCCTTCGAAATATTCATGAGCAGCTGTTGCTAATGCGTTAGATCAGAGAGAATAACATCGGTATTATAATTATCTCACATTTCATCGAGACAAATTAAATATCAATTTTATTTATTTTAATTAATATTTCCATAATTTCACAAAATTCATTAACCTAATATCCGTAAATAACATACGTACATAACATAATTTGGAAACCATTGTTCTAAAATTACTATAAAAGTTACTAGTGATTTGTAACTAGTATTACCAACTATATAACATTTTATTAATCATTTTTATACCGATAATAAATCACTATTTCTAAAAAGATTTTTCCGATAAATTCCATTCAATTCCATCATTTTATCAATAATTATAAATTTAACTAATTTGAAAATATCAAATTTAAATTTTCTAGAATTAAATTCATTTAGCCCAAATTCTCTCTCTCTCTCTATATATATATCGAAAAATCGTCTGTCTTTTATTTAATTTTTTCACAAAACACTTTTTGTCGTAATAAAAAAATCTTTGCTTACTAATAAAATCACGTCGTGAAATATACATCTTCCAATATTCATTCGGTCGATCTTCGATGACGGATAAGCGGTGTGCAGAAGCGAACCGATATACACGGAGCGACATATCGAGCAATCTCGTTACTTCAATTGATGCTCAGAAATATAGCCGCCGCGTACGCGGTCGATAATCGAATCTCCCAACCATTTTCGTTGTCCTCGTTTACACCCGTGGCCAAATAAAAAAATCTTGCACGAGTTATGACACTCTGAATAATTATCCAGAGTTCGATCTAAAATTCTTTACGATACATCGAAAAATTATTGTCGAATCTATTATAGAAAGATAATTTATAATTAAAAGAAAGAAGAAGAAGAAGTAAAAAATGGCGGAGAAAAAATGTCACATAAGATCAGATATTACATAGGTTGGTACTTAGAATTGCAAATATCCAACGATTTTGGATCAAATATTCGAATAATTCCTGCTTTATGAACGTTTATCTATTTTTTATTATTTATTTCAGAACAAATATAGATTATTTTCCTCGCTTAATTTCTTTGTTTGGTTAATTATATAAGAAGAAAGAATTTTCGCGATTTTAATGTCAATTTAAAATTTTCGATTTTTTTTATGCAGAAAATACGAATAATCGATCCCGTGGAAAAGTTTCGTCACTCTGTTCTATTCGTATTTCTATTTCCATTTATTTTTAGAATCTCTATTCGCTACATACGTCATAATCGTGCATGCGAAATGTCTAGGTATTCGAGTGCACAATATTCACTTTATACTTGTCTTGTCAATCAAAAAAATAATATGAAACGAAAGTTTCTCTGCAGAAAAGGAAAAAGAGACATTATTAAAGTTTTTGTTAATATTTTCTCTTTTCACCATTATCTTCGAAATGGTTAAGGATCTCTTTAGATTATATTTAATAATACATTTATATATTTTTGTATATCTTTGCTTTCGTATATTGTAGTTTAATCATGAACGATTCGATGATGATCAACTGGTTAATTCAATATGAAAACACATTATTTGGAGTACTAATCTAATAATTGTTGTAGTATTTCATCGATCGGATATTAATTGTTCATCAATAAATAATCAATTAACTCCAATGATAGTACACTAATCTTCGAATGAGATCTTTCAAATTTGACGTATATTTCGCGATTCATCCTCAATTTTTTTTCCGACATTTGAAACAATTCTAACAGATTAGAACAACAATAAAATATCATATTAAAAATATAATAACTTTGAATCGAGATAAATTTACATTTCTAAAGACTATTCTTTGCATAAAATTATAATAAAAAATGGCAACAACTTCGCCGTTTAACTAATTAATTACAAAATTTCGTAGAATTCCGCAAAAAAAAGTGCACGTGCCGCCTCTTCTTTCGCGATAACGAAATTTCATCGATTGTGCGCGTAGCATCGTGTGAAATATCTTTATCTAAACATTATCTAAATAGCGTTTCACTTCTGTCTTACCACCCATAATGGAAAATTGAAGTCGTTCGCGCTTACGTGGTACATACTTTCGATAACGATCTCTGTTAAGGAACAAAGGCCGCAATGAAAATACCATAATTGGCTAAAAAAAAAGAAAAAAAGACTATAAATATTATCGCTTCGCGCAATACGTTGGCTTACCGTAAGATAATAACGTTGTCGATAATATATTTCATCATCGCATGATCTGGATGGTTTATTATAATGAAAAATAGTTTCGTTTTTTTCATTTTTTTTTTTTTTATCACAAGCATTACGCCTTCTTTTTTATATTATACTACGTTGTTATATAGTAGGGTGGGATTGGAAGTGTTTATAACGCCGTTAACTTATCGGGTAATTGCTTTTTATAGTGGAAAATGTTTTAAGGACGATGTTGCGTGATGAGAATGATTTTTCTCGAAGGTTATGGAAATCTTTTCTTCCTTTATTTTCTTATAGGTGTTTTTCGTATCGATCATTTCCTACTTGAAACAAATTATTAATATTGTCTCGAAATTTTTCTTTTTATATTAGATTTTAGAAATATATAGTGATAGTTTCTCCATGAGCTAATTGTACGTTAATAAAATAGAATGTTGAGATAGAAATGAAATAAATTAAAGAATATAATACACTTTCTCGAAATATCCATGTTGATCGATGAGCCTGAAATTTCCAGACTTGTTCGAAGGGATAAGAAATTCGTTGTCACAAAATTCAGACCGCATAAGCCGCATCGAGCTGCCAATAGAATTTCTTGTCGATGCAACGTCGTTGCACCGCGAATATGATTTATCAAAAATCTGATCAATCGATATACTTGTCGAGGAAGATTCTATAGCATCTTTCTTAATTAATACAAATAGCGTATTAATAACATCAGCCACTTATATGTACTTTAGCATTTTGTATTATAAAATATCTAATCGATGATTGATAAGCGAATTTCCTTCGAAAAAGTGAGCAGCCAATTACAAAACCCGATCGTACTCGACCATTTAAGCTGAATCTACACCCGATAAACGTATGTCCATAAATAAAAGTGACGAGCAAAATCGTCTTAATTGTCCCCACACAGTTATAAACTTATATTTTTCAAGAAGACTCACTGCTTCGTCCAACAGACCACTCTTTCCCTTCGATTTAACAACTTGATATATTCACAGGACGATTTTCGAGGGTAAATTTCGGTAGAAAAGTAAATTTTATTATCGTTTTTCATTTTTATTTTATCAAAAAAGCTTTGAACGTAATTTGGCTTTGTACATAAATTAGATAAATTAGCTCCATGGAATTCCATTATTCCTCTAGCACCCTCTAAAACGTGCGTCCCACGAATATATCGATATCTTTTCATCGTACAAATCGAAAAAAAAAAAAAAAGCCAAGAGAGAAAAGCGAGAATATCGGTTCGGAATAATAAAATAAAATGGAGGATCGGAAGACGGGCCAATTGGGCCAATTGTGCTGGAAAAAAAAAAATTGTCCAGGTGAGAGCAACGAGAGTCTTCCACGAAGCAAGGACCAATGCTCGAGGCTGACCGAGAAGCGTTCGAGCGCCGCCGCCGCTTACGCGGCCCTCCAGGCAAGCGAGGATGAGCTGATCGCGGAGCACTGCCTCGAGTCCGAAGACGCGGCGCTGAAAACGCCTGGAAGCGAGACGGAGGACACGGAGGACAACGGGGCGCAGATGGACGAGGCCGCCTCCTCGCCTGGCCGCCGTTTCACCTTCCTCAGGCGGTTTCGATCGCCCAGATTCGGCGAGGCGCATCACAAAAGGGTGCCCACACCGATGAAAAGGAAGTACAGACGGAAGAAGAGCAAGGACGACATCATAAACAACGATATGAACGCGGCGGAGGTTGAGCCGCCGAGTTTGAACCAAACAGGTGTCCCAGACCCTTATTACCCGATCTATCTGCCGATCGACCAGGCATTCAAGGCCAAGTACGTGTTCCACCACAAGAAGGGGAAGACGTTTCAGGAGAGGCTGTACGTGTTCCTGGAACACCCAGGCGGATGGATCTGCTTCATATATCATTTCACCGTGTGAGTACCATTGTTCGAGTTTCTGTGAAGGTGAATCCCGGTGGATGGAGTTGTGTTCCTGGTTTGGGATTAATCGTGGATTGAAGCCTGACAGGATAAATGGTAATTCGTTGATCGAATTCGCCGGTTCTTTGGAGGATATATTTGGAAATGAATATATTTTTTTTTTATAAACTATGATCGTGACAAATATCGTTTTTCTTCGAATTTTTATCGAAAAATTAACGATATTTCATTCACTTCTTAACTCTTTGAATGAACGAATGAGATTTTTTTGATTATTTCTTCAATTTCTATTCAAAGAAATACATCTCGAAGATTTTATTCTCAATAATATTCAGATTACTTCTTATTCAAAAAAAGTCATAGTAGATTGACTTCTCAGCATTTAGGATAAATTAAAAATTTACTTTCGACCGGATAACCTTTCGACGCTAAAGCGGACACTATTCTATATTCATGAACGTTGACAATCTCCATCTGCAATCATTAATATAAATTATTATATTCCTCGATCTTAAATTCGCTCGAATCGTCACAGAACGCATTATGCGTGCAATGCTATAATCTATGCACACGTACACAACAGCATACGGCTGTGTTTCGGATTAATATTCAAAACTGACATTACGTCGTATGTACCAAACGTGAAATTGATTCGGACTAATGCAAGGATCAACGCGTGTTATATGGAAGCGTCTCTCCTTTCGAACAAACCGAGTACGCGGGAATTAGAGACGTATCGACAGATTCGTTACTCTGTTATGTCCACCATCGAGGTTTCTATCCACGCATAAACGGGACAGACGATATTGGGAGTTGACTCGAGTGATGGATTTAAGTCAATGGTTCACGAGATCATTGTACGTTTTATAACGTTGCGCGAGTTAAACCCATCGCTACATAATATCCCAAAAGTCAGATAACAGTGCAACTTTCTCAGATGATTTCAAATAACCGTGTAAAAATTTTCGTTTTGATCTTGTTAACGATTTATTAACGAAAAGCATTGGCCAATCACAGTGCGATTCGTCGATCGCCATTGTTCCTATTCTATTCTCTTTTCTTTCCAACAGTTGGTATTACGTGACGAAGAAACAAGTAAAGTTTAATATAAAAATATAATAAAGTTTATGCATGTTGGATTGAGCGAAAACACACGGTCCATGTTTTATGGATGGAAATAAGAAGGAAACATGGAAATGTGTTTGTGCATGGAGAAATTCGAATAGAAAGTAGAAATGGAAGGAGAATAACTTGGACATGTTATTGTAGTATGAAATACATTGCAACCAAAAGTTTGAAATCGATAACGTTTTTTTATGAAATTGAAAAATTTCGGATTGAAATTCTGATCAGAAAAATCTTTGGGGAAAAATTTATTGCATACAATTACAATAAATTTTATTTATTTACAAATATTTTATTCAATTTAAATTCCTACAATTTCTTGAGAAAATAATATGTAATATGTTTTTCATTTCATCAAAATGCATTAGGTTAAAATGTTGAATATATATTTATGAAAAAAAAAAAATAGAAATTATTCATATTATACAATCAATCAATATTTAAATATTCGTACGCTTTCGCATATTTCAATCAATAATCCTATTCATCCTCTCGAGGATCATTTCCTATTTTCTGTACCCAATCCTCTATCCTGTCCCCGAAGACAAATATTTCTCTGTATTGGAAACGACGTCAGTTATTCGAAATAGAAATGGTTTGATTCAACAAGTGAATCGAAATTCTTTTGTATTGTATATATAGAATGTTAATATATTCCTTGGAACAGATTTAGAGGAATCTAGAGGCCAGAGAAATACAAAACTATCGATTGAAGCTTATTTATTAAGTTATAAGTAATTTAAATCGGTGGTGAAAATAAAACGTGACAAAAATAAGATGGTGTAACGAAGATAGAGCGACTACTTTTGTTTTAACAAAATTCTTGTTTGTTTATAAGAAAAGAAATTATAATTAATTATTGTTTTATTATAATACGATAGAATGTAACAATTACTTTGGACAAAGTAATTAATAGTAATATGTAATCTTGAAACTTGTTGGTAAATGTGATTACATAACTTCCAACGTCATTATGCAACTTTTATAAAAGGCTAGTATATAAGAGTTTGAAATTATTAAATATATACTTTGATTAATTGTCTACTTTGGCTCAACGTCAGTAAACTAAGCTTTAAACTTCACGAACTATTGCTCGAACAAAGTTTAACTTAACCCTACGAATTTCAATCGAGAAAGGCTCGTAAAAAACACAAGGCTGATAAAAAATTTCTATCCTAAAGTAAATATTTACTAGACTATTTTCTAATGGAAATAAATTCCTTGCAATAATTACTATCACGATTTATCACGATTCATCAATTTTTTATCTTTGATCTTCACCAACATTTTTACTCGAATATCGAATGTAACAAATATTCCAAAATACATATATTTAGATATTCTTTGAAATTTGTTTCGAAATTGAAATTTTGAAATAGTACTTTTGGACATGCATACATTTATATGATTGCATAAAATATCATGAGCAGGGATACGGATATTCCATTTGCCCCTTGGTCACGCTGGACGCCATCTCTAAAAAAAAGATAAAATAAAATACAGTTACGTGTTAACGAAAAAAAATAAATATCTACTCACCTTTCCCAACTCGGAAATTGCGAAAATCGTAAAAATGTTATCACCAAGGTTTCACATCTTACGAAGTTATTTTTATCCCCGATGGCGCGCGTTTCGCGAGATGAACGCCGTGAATAAACGTCATCGTAAAACCTTCGACTAAAAGGAAGGCAGACACTGTTCGAAAGTATACACGTTTCCACCTCCTCTTAAAACCTGTATATCGTTCCTGACCGTGCCGTTTTATTTCCGTTTGCTTCTTCGTTCGGGTGTATCGTAAAAATCCATCTTTGATCCGCCCACAACTCCGCCACCTGCATAAGTATCAAAATACTCTCGGTTTCTTATGTATTATTCATAATTTTTGTTTTCCATTATTCTTCCTTTCTTTTTTTTTTCTCTAATTTTTTCGATCACTCTTTCTCTTTCTCTCTCTCTTTAGGCACGCGTGTCCTTCCTTTTTCAAAGTTGCCGCGAAGTACCGCAACCCTTTAAATAATTCATTACGAAAACAAAGTACATGCAGGATGGAACGTGGCATCGAAGCCTATCGATCGCATGAATGCGACGTTTATGCTCCCCTTTTAATCTTCCCCTCCTTCCCTTTTTATCGTCTGCTATATGACAGTAAAACGATTGTTCTTATCGTTTCTCGTTAATTTCCTGTTGCAGAGAATAGTTTCTACTTGATGCTTTTTAATGATGCTGCATTATGTTTCCTGTTTTTTCTGTCTCGTTACTTCGGTTTCCGGTTTTACTAGTCATTCTATTATAGTTGTTCCAGACGGCGAGTTTAAACCTTTAGAAATTGAATCGTATAAGCGATTAACGCCTATTATTTTGTTTTAGAATGATTTTTGATATATTGATTATATATTTAAATTTGTACGATACCTTGATTGATGACCATGATGATGTTGGGTTCTTCAACTATCAGTTATCATAAGAATATTAAATATATTTATTATATACCTAAATCAAGAATGATCAACCGCTATTCTCATGGAAATTGATTCCTCTATATGTAAAGCAAAATTCTTTATTCGATGTATTAAAGTCAAAATTCTGCAACGTTCCATGATACTGATTCGTCTCTTGTTCGAATTTCCATTGCTATATATTTTCGCTTATCTCTTTTTTCCCTGGACACATATGTTGGAGAATTTTCAACCGAGTGACCCGTGTTGATTCCACGATAATAAAGTACGCTATCGCAGTTTTGACGATGCGAAACGTCACGATCGGAAATTATCACGGAAGCATCTTTCATTTTGTCCTCGACGCAGTTACACTCGCAATTCGAACGCGCCATTCATTTCCGAATACGTGGATCTCTTTTTCGTCAACTTCGAACATCGTTTGAATTGCATAATTTATCTGGTTTCCTGGCATATCCCTAGACATTCTCTTTAACCTAGAAATTGCCAATAATAAAATATATATTTCATTAATAATTTGAATTTTAATTCAGCAAAATATTGTTGACATACTTGAAAGAAAGAAAAGTCGGTCTACTTCACGCTATATTACCTGATAAAAATCCAAAGTAATAGTTTAACTATACCTGCTCGATCAATTGATATCTTGGACAGTATGCAAAATAGGAATAAATATTGCACTTGAAGTGATAGTGATCTCAGATCGCGTGTCATTTTATATGGGAAATTTTTCAGTTCAGAATATTTCAAGGAATTTAAATTAGATCACGAGAGTTGAATGTAATGTTAGATTTTCTATTGCATAGATTGATATTCAAATTATCGCTATTGTGTTGTAGTAATACACCAATTTAAATTATTTGATAATAATTCAGAATGAAGAAAGGGATATGAGCTTAATGAATTTGCAATACTTCCGTGGATAAATTGCAAGATTATCTCAATGATAAATTATTCCTATCTATGGAATGTTTCGTCCGAGTTGAATAATTTATTAGTCACAGTATATATAAGGAATATAAGGAATGCTGCATAATTCTATATAGATACTATATGAAATATTCCCTATCTTCTAAATTATGTAAAGATTGAGTATTTATTAAGAGGTTATAAGACTAATTTGACTTTAACGCTAATTCACATTGTGAAATTTTCTTTCAAGAGAAATTGATAAACTTACAATTTCATCTAAATTTATGAAATGAATTTTAGGAATATTGCAATTTTTTTTTTTAATAAATGTAACGAATGTATCAAAGCTTACCTTTTGAATATAACTTCAGCTTCTCTTTATCTGATTCGAATATGAATAGTCATCCATTTCACTATGTTGCACGTATGCATACTCATATTTAACAGTTTATAAATATAAAATTATCAATTTATTAATGGTTAATATAAAATTGTGAATTCTTTTTTAATATCACTGTAATAAACTTTTTTTAATTGGAAAATTATATAATTTTATAAAATTTGGAAAAATAAAAATATTTTAGATGGTTAATCAGCCAATCAGCAACCTTATACGATGATCACGTCATAGGGACTTCTATTAATTACATCACTTATTTTATGTTGTCAATAGATGGCACTTCCCGCCTTTCTTTTCATAACCTTTTCGAATAAACGGTTATGTATAACATCACTTGTGCGCAGTATATCGTTTTATTTTTTGAATTCTATTCTTTTTTAACATTATATTGTTGTAGATTAAAATTGTGTAGTGATTATTATTCTAATATATTTCTTTTGTATCTTGATATAATAGTGAAATGAACTAAACAGTGAATTAGTCTATAGATATCTTTTTAATATTATTCGTTATTGTTGCTTGATGTTTAATGGATTAGTAAATTTATAAAACATCGTTTATATTTTTATAACGCAAATGTTAATCAGTATTAATATCACATTTATAACGTTAATTTGTTCGTATTCTGAAACGTATTGATAAGTGTTCAGTGATTTATAAACGGGAAAGAATATATTTTTTTATAATCGATATGAAATTGAAAATGAATATTCGTCGTTTCTTAACTCGTTTCTTAGCAAAGGAAATAAATACATTGTGTGTTTCGCATATAAGTGACTATCATCTACACGAAAAGTTTCTCAATGAGACGATGATTTTTTATCGAAGATAATTTTAATTGCGTAAGTATTCTTCATATTCTTTTCGATTTATTCTTCATTTTTAATGGTTATTTTTAAATTTTTAAAAAAACTTTTTGAAATGAAAAAAATATATCATATTCCTAACCTATTTTTTGAACATTAATATTTTTTCATGAAATTTTTTTATAAAATCTTATTAGTATTACCGATAGTAGCATTTTATTCGAAGAAACATAACATTAACAGAACTGTTACTAATGCTTCGGCCTACTTCCTTGACTGCATAAATAGCAGCATTATTAGGTGCAATGCATATGCCGGCTATTTGCGTGTCGCTTGTTATTTTTAGAGAGGAAATTATTCTCGACGATACACGCGCGTAATCTTTCCGAGTTAGGCGTGCCACGAATTTTTCGCATTTCAATTCTCACTCTATACATGAGCATCGTTAAATTTTTTAACGGTCGATCGGTTGTGCTCACTCGATACAGAAAAATATACGTATATATTTGTGAGTATCGATTTCGCAAACGACATTTCGAGTTCAAAGATGCTTTCGAGAATTTATCGAAACATTTTACGCATTTTATTACGCAACAACTTTCTTGTGAACTTTTGTCAAAATTCTTTTACGGATATGAGTTATTTTTATTAAAATATCATATTTTTGAATTGTATTTAAATTTTGGATATTATAGTTTTGATATTTATTTTTAGTATTCTAATTGTTATCGAAGAGATTTTTTTTAAAAATTAATTTGAAAAACTATTGGTTAACTGAAGTAGAGAGGTTAGTGAGCATTTCCTGAATTCTTTTAAAATTTTTGAAAGCCTGAGATATTAAAAAAAAAATCGAGAGGAATAATAGACCTAAAGATAAAGGAAGATGTAATAAAAGGAATAATATGGAATTGTTTTCACGCTACGAATATTTTAAAGCATAAAAAACTCACATACAGTAACTATATATACTATCTATGCAAGTATCGTTAAAAACACATATAATATATAGAATATTATAACATATAGAATATTTTTAATAGATCATAGCTAGGATTCTTTTCATGGAGTCATATAATTGAAGTACTAAGGGATTTTTCCATTAATTATAGTGATATCTGAAATTTTACCAGAGTTCTCATTTTTATTTAAAATAATTCAATATGCTTATGATCTATTAAACAGATTGTCATTAATTTCGAAGTAGTAGGATGGCTTGTTTGAAATTACAATGTGATACATTTATAAATTTATAAACTTTATAGGTATATTCACTTTGCGTGCTGATATATAATTCAGATCTCAATTGTCTATATTCATAAGTTGATGATAATTCAATGTTTGTTTTGCATTATACATAATTGATGTTTATTTAAACGAGATACTTATCTATAATAAAAAAAATTCTTCAGAGATGCTATTTCAGAGATACTAAATGGCACATTTTTAAATATTTATTAAAATATAAATTTCGTACGATTATATACATTAATGAAACATTATTAATGATTTCTCGAATATTAATTCCCAGTATTATTAATTCTAAGAAATTTTCCTATTAAAATTAAAATCAAATACAAGTTACAATTAACCTTTCGTTGGTAAAAAATTAAATTGTAAATATTCCTCGAATTAATTTCTAAGAAAAAAATTCAATTCACACTAAAAAAAAAAAAAAAAAGAAAAAAGAAAATTTTCAAATTAATTATTACAATAGAATAATACACAAAAAGATTCTCTTATCTTTCACGTAAAATGCACATCGCGAATGAATTCTATTTTTCTCACGTCCTGCAAATCGCGATCCGGTTATCCAAACAATATTGCTCGCAAGTGTTTTACACGATTGTAGCGTGGAAAGGAGTAAAAAAAAAAAAAAAGGAAGAAGAGAAAAATCTGATTCAGCCGATTCGAGCTTAATAACGAGCGACACGAACGGACAGATCGATCGACCGTGAGTAAAATGCACGGCGTGGAAATTTCATTTTCGGTGAAATTGCGGTAAACGTTTGTATTATTTTACCGATCGTTTCCGCCTGACATTAAACCACCGCATGCTCGGCCATAAACGAATGTTTTATCAGCAACGCCTCGTAATAATCGAGTTACGCCTACACAATCTCATTTTTCTCTCGATTTGTGAAGATGATTCGTTGACAATTGCGCGTGAATAAATATCACCTTTATATGTTTCTCTTTTCCGTTTAAATGAGTTTATTTAAAATTTTGATGAAAATATTCGACAAAATTTAAGAAAATAATTAACAAGAAGTGGCCCACAATATTTGCGTTACGCGCAAGGAAATTATAGTTTGTCTTACGTTAGTTTAATCATATTTCATATCGCTAGGATAGTCTATACGATTAGTGCGCTCTCGACATCGATAGACTCTTCATCGTGGAGGACGGTCGATAGGTGCTCGAGAATTTATCCCTTGTTGGTCGAACGACTTTGTCAAGTGGTATACAACGAATATATTATAAGCGATACTTTTCTAATTTTCCAAACAGGATTTATTATCGTTTATTTTCTCGTTTAATTTTTATAATACTATTCAAATATATCGTTCCACGATATATTCTATTTCTATTCGTTTTAAATATTTATTATAATTAAAATTGTTGAATTTTTAGATAGATCCAATTACAGTACTGTTCGCTGAATTATCACCAGATTAGGTTTTTAAATAAGTGATCGATTTATTGAAATTAGATTTGAAGTTATAACGGCTTTCGATTACTTTTAATAATTTTCGATAGATGGCACTACTCGGTTCTTTTCTATTACCTTTCCTATTCTATTCTTAACCTCTCAAGCGAGGTTAAGAATTTTTCACAATTATTCGTTCGTTAAACCTATTTCTTCGATAATTCATTTACAAACTCGCAAACAATTTTCGAATTCTCGTTAAAAAAGAAAAATACATACTTTTTTTTTGAGCTGTGTCACTTTTGAAATATATAAACACATATATCCATTATAGATAGACAGTTAGGCCATCAAAATAACTAAATTAAAATTTCGAATAAAATTTCTTTAAGTAACTTTATTTAAAGTAACATTTATCTTATACCTCTTCGTACAACCTCGGCTACAGAGTTATCCGCGGTTATTCGATTCAATGAATAATAAATTATTGAAGAGTAACTTGCAGAGGTAACTTTATATATCTGAACTTCGACCGTTAAGATTTCTCCCATCCCTGTCGAGGATAATATATCTTGTTTAAAACGAATTTAAAAAGAATCGAGCGTTAGAGATCTAAAAAAACAAAGAAAAAAAAAAGGAATAAAAGCAAACGATACGAATGGACACAAACTCATCGACACACGAAACAGGCTTTGCCCAACACCGTAAAAAGGGCGAAAAGGGTCGAGCAAGGGACAATTATCATAGTAGGTCGATGAAGGTGACCCGTGAAGCAACGGTGGCAGTCCGAGGGAGGTGTGCAGCCCGGAATTATAGTCGGTCGACACGCCATCTTAAAGCGTGGAACACGTGGAGACTTCGTTAACGCTCGTCGTTACTTAACGAGCTATCGCTCGCTAATAAATTACTTGCACAACCGGTCGAGTCCATCCACGATTCCTCTCGATCCGCCGCGTTAATATCCGCGTTGTATCTGGTCTGAGGAGATGCTGTCGGCCACGTTTCAATTTGTATCACTACCGTTCCCTCTTATCGTCACGCCTAATGCACACAGTGGATTATTAACTCTTTGCATTTAGAATCGTATCGATGATTGCTTACATATTTATTTCTTCCATTTTTTTTAGACTGTTTGAAAGTAATTTTGGGAACAATATTTTCTTTAGAAATTTATATAAAAAAAAAAAAAAAATCTAGAAAAATCTGGAATTCAAAACCGTTTGATTATTCTCACAAATTTTGAATCTAATCACAAATTTTTTTTATTTTATGAGTGAATTAAATAGAATCAACGCACAGGTGTCCCGATAGAGGGCGCGGGATTGGCTTTAAATCGAATCGAAATCTCGAGGCATCTGCATTTCCAACTGTTAAATATCGCCCTACATATCGTGCTCGTGCATATTCCATCGCGTTGCTTCGTTTGTTATTCCGCATCGGCTCGTGGATCGTCTTCGCGTGCTGATGCGGACCACGGGCATAAATTAAATTGCTTTCGAGTTGCACCGCGACCTGTGTATAATCGATGGAAAAATTTGTTGAGACGATTTGCAAATTTTCATCGCTCGCGTGACAGTGAAACTCGGCGAGAGAATTTTCGAGAGGTATCGCGTCGAGATACGTTATTTTTCTTTGCTTTCGTATATTTCTAAGTTTAACCTAATTCGAAACGGGTTTTTTAAATATTTTTTTTCGATCGACTCTTTGCTTTCGAGTATTTTATCAAATTATTCGTATAACAGTTTGCGATAAGTAACGATATTTTCGATATTTTCTTTCCTTCAAAATGAAGGATATTGCAACGATGATCAAATATCTTGATAAGATATATTTTTCATAATATTTCAAAAATAAGAGTTTCAACCTCGATAGAAACGATATTATTTGCACTTGTAGAAAATAGATATATTATTAAACTGAATATATTTTTATTTCTTACATAAATATAATCTCTTCGTTTATTTGTCTTGAAATTAATTTTTATGAAAGGACAGAATAATAAATTTTATATATATATATAAATAATAATAAGTGCCGCATGGTAGTCGCGTTTTGACCATCGTGGCTAAATAATTAAATTTCAGACTTCTCAGAGGAAGTCAGAATCGTGAAATTCGTAGTTTCTCGACTGTGGATCAGTTTAGTACAGATCTTATAGTCTTGATATCATGAGAAGAGAAGAGCATGCTTCATTTCTCATGCAGTAAATGTTCTATGAGATCGTCCTTGTCTCTCTGAGTCAGTAGCCTGCCGAGTACTTGAAAATTCGAAAAGGATTCATTCAAGTTACAGTTCCGTCTTTCTAGTTATATCTCTTAGTTTATCGTGTTTCCTCTCTGTAAATTTTATTTTTCGAGTCCCATGCATTTTAAGTAACTTATTTCACTAGAGTAACAGTGCCCTATATCTTCAAGGCAATTCCTTAAACTTTTCTAGTACTTTTTTTTTTTTAGAAAAGTCTACAAAAATCTTTTCGTAAACGTAACATAATTTATTCTTTCTTAATATATATAATATTTTAGTTCGTGCGGTAAGTTGAATGAAGTTTATTTAGTAATATTTGAAATTCCTCGAAGAATTATTAATTTTTTTTAAAATTATTTTATCTCAAAATGATAAATTTATCATCAACATTTTTGTAACCATGAAGAAAATGTCTAAACACGCGAAACACTAGTTCGACTTTCGTCGATCGATTTAATAATGTGTGCATTCGTGACCGTAAACAGCTATAATTTACCGAATAATTGATCACTGCATTGTAATTACGGTCCCTCATTGTTCCTTTCAAATTTGTGTGTGGATTCAATTATTCCGTGAGGAGCGTGGGTCATAAGTAATACAGACTATTCATCATAACGATCGTTACAATTTTTCATATTCTTTTGCTTGAACATATCTCGATATATTATTTAGAATTCTATGAAAAAGTGAAAAATACACTTCACAGGAAATGTGTAACGACAAAAACAAGGTGATCGTTAATTTTTATTTGCAACATCTGTAGATTGGACGTCAACGAATATCACGTAGCTAAGCGTATTAAAATTAGAAAAACTTCGAATCGCTATAACTCCGAACTTAGTGGCTTTTGATGAACGAGTGAACGATCATCAGAAGCGCGAAATTTTACTCTTTAAAACATTTTTCGATTTATTCCGATACAATTTTTGGTTCTTGAGATATCGTCGTGTAAAGGGAATGGTAATTTTTTAATTCCTCGCATCTCTCGCTCGCACTTCGCTTCACTAACCTATCCCAAACTTCAGACAAGTGGAAGAAATATGCATTCCCAGGAAAAAATGTGGAACACTAAGTTGCGGATCCATTCATATCTTAAGCATTGTTTGAAGTATTATGGACACTTTGAATTCTTATCGTGGTAACCGATTGAAATATCCGGGTAAAACAAAAAAGGAACACCATTGGCACGATTTTCTCTATTTTTTGAATGTATCTTAATGTATATAATATCATATTTTTTTTATACTAGTTAAATACATTTTTAACATTTTAAAAGTTTACAACTAGGATTAAATGGATCCTATAAATGTTATACTGAAGATAAAAATTTTATAAATTTACGATAATTTCTCAACAGACGCTGCTATTAATTTTTAATTTTTTATCGTGATATATACGCGGAAGTAGATGATATCTTGAGTTGAGAGGATTACGTATCGTCGCGTTAATTGCTATAATTTGGAGCAGAGGAGCTATTTCAAGAATGTTAGAAGTTATCTTGAGATGCATTACAGAGTATATATATTAAAACAACTTTGTGACACGATTAATTACGCGATTACGAAATAAGATACATTGATACAAGAAATGACTTCTGCAAAATGTTCGAAATGATAAAATACGAAAGAAGTAGATATCGAATTGTTGATTCTGAATTTTATTTTAAAAATTCCAGATCAAACTTCGAGCTTTTTGTTCTCTAATGTTAATCTCGCATAATTTCTGAACAGATTATTCAAATTATTCAAAATACGCGGCAATTTGCATTGTATCATAATTTTGAAATGAAAACCCAAGTCTTGTGATCATAATTCTAAGAAAGGCCTGAATCGTCTCGTCTGATAGCCCAGTAATCCAATACTGGTTTCGTGGAAATCTAATACGGAATTTGAGGTACGGCCTCGACAAAGGTGTTGTTTCATGATCATAGAAGGTCGATAGTCCCATTGCTTCGATTTTACTTGAAAGGGAAATTCTGCGTCGGTGTCTATACAAGCTTCAATAATTATCTTATAACATCATATTATCATCTTAATGATTTATTATGTTCGAAAAAATTTGTGTTAATTTTAATCAATATAACAATTATTTTTTATGACTCGGTGTCCAATAAATTTTTAAATTCAATCATTCAATTTTCAATTGATTCAAATGTAATAATTAAAAGCGATTTTCTTAATCGTATAAACGGGCTAATGGCTAAAAATAACGCGCTGTTATAAGCGCCTTTCCACCGCATGAATTGCAAAACTTGTATAGAGATATAGTGGACGTCCCAGTTCGGCGGCTATCTAAATGTCTCGATGATAAAACGGTTAGAATCGATAATGCATATGAATTGGCTCGCTTATAAATAAATCCTTTTTCCCATGACCCCAAGCTGTTATTCCTTGATAATTAACGTCGCGACGATTAATTAATTTGGCGTCTCATGAATTTCCAATGACGGCAAAATAAAGAGATTTAATCGAATCTATCCTCGACATTCTTCTCATTCATCATATTCGTTTGATTTTTATTTCATCACAGGAATCGATCGACATAGTTTAACTGATGATCTCTGAAATATAATTTCAAGCAACTTTTTCACTTTTTTTTTCTTTTTCTTCGTGAAAATTTTCGTCTCCACACTTGTTGTTGCGAGTTATTAAGGAAACACGCTTAGCCAATCACAGAGCGCAGCGACGGTAGTGTTGGGTATGTACCACTATCGAGTCGCCTCGAACGAACAAGTGGAAGCAAATGTGTTAAATAATTATTGGGAAAAATTTATATCGAATTATCGTTGTTCTATTCACAACGAATAAATTAATTAGCTTCGACACATGTTGCTTCGACTTGATAGTGAATAATTTTTGATTGAAATTTCGATAAATTCCTGAATATGTGAAAATTTCTATTCGTTTCCACTACGAAAATAATTGGAATTACTCTCTTTCAGGTTCATGGTGGTATTGGTGTGCCTCATATTTAGCGTTTTGTCGACCATAGAGCAATACAGTAACTTCGCGAACGAGACCCTCTTTTGGATGGTAAGTGAAGCTCCCATTATTTTTAATCACCAAAGACAATTATAGCGTAAAAACAATACGAATATTAGATAAGTTTTCATAATTTTAAATAAAATAATATACACAAATTGTACTTCCTTCAACATCAAGGGATTCGTGGAAACGAAAGTTGACGTGCCCTCGCTATTGTTTGCCTGTCAAACTTCCTCGAGAATGCGAAATCACACGCGCCTAAACACACCGCGCAAACAAAGCATCGTTTCGCGAGTAATTCGAGCGTAGCTTGTTCGAGATAACCGGATTTAATTAATTATAGCGGGATTATAAGCGGAAACTTGGTTCAAAGTTCGACGACTTTCGAGGAGGGAAAATCTCGAGCCGTAAAGGCATTCAAACAAGAGCCACTCGCGAAATCATAGGGAACGATCTCCTTTATCCGATGTATCTTCCAAGCGAAGTGTTCCATCGGTCTTTCACCATTACTTTTACGAACTTCTCGAGTAAACTGTACGCTATTCTTTTATCTCCGTAAGCCTCTTGCCTATAGTTTCGTCGTAAGACGCGATGGTAGTTCAAGGCCATTTAGCCACTTTCACTCTATTCTATATTTTGTGTCGCGTAGCATCGTTTTAAGTGGTTATACGCGAAACCTATATCGCGTTGCGTATAGTTTCTGGTTTTAAATTTTCCGTATAGAAAATTTGAGAGGAAAATAAAATAATAATTGATATTTCTCTAATACAAATCACGATTTACGTGTAATTAAAATATATATATATATTTGATCGTTATTATATTTATCATAATTGTACCATCTTGAAAAGTGAATTATTATATCGAGATGAAATTCGATTTTTATCTACAGATGGTAAAAGGTCATATGAAACGATATTACATTTTGATTAATAAATACTGTTCGATTTCTAAACTATGAATAAAACTTACTTACGCGTGAAAGCGTAATTCTTACTTTTATATTCATCTCGTTAACGTAAAATCTCAAAAATCTTATATTATCGAAAATTAGAACGACGATTTTCCCAATTAAAATATTCAACATGACTAAAATTCATTCGCCTCGAATAAAATACGATCGTAGCGCAATTTCGACGGAAATCTTTCCACTGTAATTGAAATTCCGGCAAGTTTTCGGTGCGGGTCGCGATCCCACGAAACGTGGTCACGTTTCATCCATAAGTCATTATGCAAATATCACGGAATAAGGGCGATGGGAGGATCGCCCGAAGGGATTGTCAGCCCCTTCTCGACCCCTACGTAAGGGGCCTTTCTACCTGTCTAAAGGTATTGCAAAACCATAGATCCCGTTTATGTGTCCAAGGTATACATCATAAAAAGCTAGGGACTTGACAAGTTGTCCCTAATGACAAGCCATCTCCTGGCTTTCACTTCTCTTCCGCGTTGACAGGATAAAAATAGACGTTAGAGGACGAATGTTTTTTTTTTTTTTTCGGTAATGAGTTCTCTTTTTTTATACATATAATAAAAAGTATACTATTTATATTGCTATTGCATTTATTATAGACGGATCGTATATTTGTATTACGTATTAATTAATTAGATTCAAACAGAATGGAATAATTATTTTCATGAAATAAAAAATTTTTGCGAAAATAAATTTCTTACGAGAAATAATTTAATTTTAAAATTCCAAATATTTAAATACAAATTATCTTATATATTCATTTTTATCTAAGCAAGTTGATCTAAAAATCTTCAACCAATTTTTCAAATAATTAAGATTTATTACTGCAAGTCATACATTTTTGCGGTAATAATAATCAGTTGTTCTCAAATGAATCGATGGAGATTTCAGGGATTATCTTCAGCATTAATTTAATTTTATTTCAAATGTGTTATTATTGCATATCTCGAATAATCTCAACGAGTCGCATAGTGTATAATAAGGATGGGGAGAGAAAAAAAAAAAATGTGCAAGTTTCACGAAACAAGAGAACATCGCGATTCTGTCATCGATGTCCCCATTTTTACAGGGCGTCGTGGCATTGCAATAAAGGTCGTAACAATCGATATATAGCATCTCTATATAACGTTGGAGCTCGTTGCACATTTATTTTAAGAACAGGGAACTAATGACTGCGCTACACCAGAAAGTCATCAGGGAAATGCCTTTCTCGCCGTTATTATGATTATCGGTCGGTCGAGGCAATTTATTTCACATTTTTCTGGCTCGTTTACCTGTACATTTTCTTTTTTTTTTTTTTAACGTAATCACAATTGATCGTTCGATAAATATATACTTCAGATCGAATTTTTATACACGGACACGGATATTTGCACGATCGTATTTTCCGATTGCGAAGTTATTCAAGTTCGTTCGAATTTAAACTTTTATCGTATTTATTCCGTATTTTAACGTAAACAATACAAATGAATATATCGTTATATATTTCTTTTGTTGTTTTATTTGCATAATAATTGAACATTTAATTGTAATACCAAAATAAAATTTCTGATACGAATAGGTGTAAAGTAACGAGTGTTACAAATAGATTGCAGACTTTTTTTTTTTTTTTTACGCAAAATTAAATTTTTAACGAACATAAAGTGAGAAAAATGGAGGTTTGTTTTTTTATTCCTCAAATCCTCGCGATTATAATTTTCGATATTCCGTTTCTTTTTTTTTTTTTTTTTTTTTTTCTATATCCATTTTGCAGATTTACAGTAATGGGATAAATGTGAAATTTATTTAAACTCGTGGAATATTGTCTTTAGACTTTATCACTCGGACTAAATGCATGGGGAAGCACATTTTAACGTTATATTTCATATTTTATCACGCAGAATGCAACAACAACAAAGTGTTTGAAACGTGGAGGAGCAAAATGCATGTAATTAAATATTGTTAAATAAAATTAACAACTTGAATTAATAATATTTACGATTAAAATTCGATTAAAATTTCATACAAAAGATATAATCATTTGTAGTGAAAAAAAAAAGAATGAAAAATTTTTTAAAAATTTTTTAAATAACTTAAAACGGATTATTCATCGCGATAAAGATGAATATCCAGTGGGAAAAAAAAAAAAAGTCACGTATTATAACTTTGGATCTCCGTATGAAATGCGGGGTTGGATATTCTTCGAAAAGGTTAACCCTTTGAACCCAATGGACTATTCAAACTCCTGTTAAAAAAGAGGTTTTTACGGTAACGTGGAGAATAAAGCGCCGTTCATATCGCATGAAAAGGGAGGGGAAAAATCGTGAATGGAACTTCAATTGGCAGAATGTACGGAATATGGATACGAAATGAAGATGCGATTATTCTTTATCCATTTTTCAGAAAAATTATTTAAGCTAGATACGTCTTTTATGAAAAATTAGAAAGAATTATTGCTCGTTATTCGTGTAATAATTAATAGTTTAATTTCTCTTTTCAGATTATTTCGAAGATTTTAAAATTATGCCTTTTAGATTTAAAAAAAAAAAGAAAAAGAAAAATATTACTCACTATTCGTCGTTATTCATTATTTATAGATTGCGAATTTTTATACAGTCAAAGTAAAAAGAATAGAAAATAAAATTATTATTTGAAATATAAACACGATTAATTATGTAATATATATATATTATATATTACATTTGTAATAAAGTGTCAGCAATTTTATCATGTAAATTCGCTTATTATAAAATTTATACTATAATATTACATAAAAATAATTTCTCTTGTTTATTTGAAAAAATTGATCATTTTATATCACACGATTATCACGTATAAGCAAAAATAGCATACGAAGAATATGAAAAATATGTAAATTTGCGTAAAAAAATGTACGATGTAACTTATTTGGAGATAGAAAGAATGAAACATAAAAAAGGAAAAAAAAAAAAAGATTTTCGTACAGATTTTCCTTTTTTTCGTTCATAGGAAATATGTCTGGTGGTATTCTTCGGTGTGGAGTACTTGGTGAGATTATGGAGCGCGGGTTGCAGATCGAAGTACATGGGCTGTTGCGGCAGGCTCCGCTTCATACGGAAACCGATTTGTATCATAGGTGAGTAGTGCGTTCCGCTAATGCACGCCTGATCCCAGTTCAATTAGCTCCGTGCCCGAGGGTTAATCCAATATTCGCGTCCTCCGATTGTCGTGGTCGAAATTAGACCGAGAATGCGACCTCTTTGAAACGCGAAATTTCCCTCCGGTGTCAAAATTGTTTGTCTTTGTTTGTCTCGTTATTGTCTTAGCAAAGGCGTGCGATTTGTTTCATCCATATATTCTGATTAATATCGAGCGAAGATTTATCTGAATTTTTTGAGATTAATACGATTAATATTAATCTTGTGAATTCTATTATTTCGAAAAAAAAAAATTGTGTTGACTGAGTAAAAATATGTCGAAATATATGCGTTTTGTATTGTATAATCGTTCTTTTTTATAGTTACTTATATGTGTGAATTGTAATTTACAGATACCAATATAAGATGCACTTGCAAAAAAATATTATCGTGAGAGTAAAGTTTTATTTTTAAACGCATTTGCATTTGAGATAACGTTTAATATCATAATACTTTTTTTTCAATCTACTACGAACGAGTAATACGAACGAAAACAAACGTAGCTCTCGTGCGAATACTATTATTTATTTTTATGTTTCGCCTACTGTCTCGATTCGAAGAAGTCGTCGATAATAGACCGACCGAGTATGTAAACAAAATTCGAGACGTAATTCTAAGTCGCACGCTCAGTCGTCGTCTAAACGCTTTCCTAAGCGTTACAATTAATATTCGTTATACGTGAATTCTTTTTTACGAAACGTCGTGTTTAAGAAAAAGGATCATTGGTACATATTTCTTTATGTTCCCTTATGCATTTTAAGATAAATACGAATTATTAGAGAAAAGAGAAAGATAAGCACATTGATTTTATTTCTTTCTTCTTTTTTTATCTTAGATTTAATCGTGGTTGTCGCGTCGATGGTGGTGCTGTCTGTAGGAAGCAACGGTCAAGTGTTTGCCACTTCTGCAATAAGAGGCATAAGATTTTTGCAAATATTGCGAATGCTTCATGTCGATCGACAAGGTGGCACGTGGCGACTTCTTGGCTCTGTTGTTTTCATTCATCGTCAGGTATTTTATTTAACTTCATTATTAACCTAAAGATTTAAATAATCTATTTATTCATTCCATACATAAATTATTATATACATGTATAGGTTAGATTATACGCATAAGTGTATATTATACAAGTTATATTATAGGTTATAGGTTATAATATATTATTAATTTATTACTACCATTACTAATTTTCTATCAGATTTAAAATAGAATGTATACATATTCTGTTTTACGATAATTTCGATATTTTTTTCAATTTTTATAAATAAGAATATTTTCGATATTTTGCAGGAGCTGATTACGACATTATACATCGGATTCCTTGGTCTCATTTTCAGCAGTTACTTTGTATATCTTGCCGAAAAAGACGTAATCGGTCCTGATGGAAAAACAGATTTTTCCAGCTATGCCGATGCACTTTGGTGGGGCGTGGTGAGTGAAAATTCACTTTCTATTATATTTTTAATACACGTTTATTCGTTTTATTATTAATTTATTAATTTGTTTTCTTTATTATGGTTAAATTGCGAATAATTAGAAAAATATAAATTTACTTCACTTTTTTATTTTTATATAATTTTATATAATCTATGTGTCGCATTACATCAATGTATCTATCTCGAAATTTTGATTTTTGATTTTATGTTAAAATTATGGAATTTATTTTTTTCTTTTTCTAATTTATAATCATGCGACTTAATTGATATTTGTTTAAAGTATTTACGATTAATTTAAAATAAAAATTTAACTGTTCAATTGATGAAATAATTGGAAGCCAATTATTTGAAGTAACTGGTACTGTTGGTTAATGTAGTTGGGGGTAATCGATAGGTAACATCGGAGTTCGATTACCCGGATGATGCAGTTAAATGAGAAGAAATATAAATGTTCCATTATGAATAAAATGAATTTCGAACCATTTTTTTTTTTCATCATGAATTTTACAATTCTAATCTCTCAAGTTAAACAATAATGCTATCTAATAGTTACTAAAAGAAACTTTTCGTCTTAAATAATTTAATAATTTAAATAAACGTTATAAGATTAAATAAAAATTTAGAGAAAGACAAAATTATCCCCTCGGAAAATATTTTCACACGACACTTTTATATTTAAAATTTTATATTTAAATTCAAAGATATTTCTTTCGATAAGTTTCCCGATTCCCGAACATTTCGAATTGCTTTTAAATATTTGCTTTGAAATATTTTCACTGATTGATCAGGCAAACATTCGCAGCCTTTCGTTTTAATCCATAAACATATTTCTCTGCCGTTTTTATTACGCAACGTTTTTCGAACAAATTTTAATAAAGGGGAAAAATTATTATTACGATTTCATTTCTAATTAAACATCGCGGGAGAAAAAAAAAAATGTATTAACGCAACGCATAAATTCGCCAAGATCCAAAATATATTTTATCACCCTTTTAAAATAAAATAATCTTTTAAAATTGGATCGAACAATTTTCTTTCCAAACAAATACACTTTTTTTCAAAAGAGACTCACCAAATTTTTATTTATTCATTTTTTTTTTTGTCAAGAGTTTCGAAAAAAATTTTTCTCCAAAAGATTAAACGAAAACCAAACATATCCTCTTCCCCCTCTCCCCTCCCAAAAAAATTTAATAAAATAATCCCTGAAGAAATACACTCGAAGCAATCAATCCTCCCCCAAAAGAATCAAACCAACAACCGCACACACGTCATACGTCCAATCCCATTCACTCCGGCTTCCCCCGTTTTAATAAGCCCTGCCCATTGATACAATTTCTATTAACGCCAATAATTAATTCGGGACGAAGCGATTTTCTCCCTATCTGGAAACGAATCGAATCGAATGGAATCCCTACGAGCGTTGTTTGTCAAACGGCGGCCGCTAATCGCTTGGAAAATATATATATATATATATATCTGTATTTATATATATATATAACTCGTTGTCGAACGAGCGCCAAGGGATCGATGGGAGCCACCGGGGCCGAGAGATTTAAATGCGGGCTTGATTAACGCCGCCTCGCGGATTCGCTGCCCGCGTTCAACCGATTTCCATCCGATTTTCCAAAGGGAGGGGGGAGGGGGAGAAGGAGGAGGAGGAGGGAGAAAGGAGAGGGGATAGGAGGATTGGCTTGGAATCGTTCCCGCGCTAACCCTATCCGAGGCGAGACAGACGCGACGGGGAATTGAAATTTTAATTAGGTTGTTTTTCAATTTGGCGTTAATTACCGGGACGCTCGACAGGAAAGAGGTTTTAATAAAATATTCGTGGGACGAGATGGCGGTGGTGGTTACTGTGACCTCGAATTTTGTGACGAGAAATTTTATTTTTTTTTTTTTATTTCGTTTTATTTTTCTTCTTCCTCCTCCCTCCCTCTCTCTCTCTCTCTCGTGTATTCGTGTATACCGGTTACGTTATTCGTTTGTGAACAGGGCATAGGGTTGTGTTGAAGCGGCGAGATTTCTGATTGGCGGTAGTTTCTGATTCGATTTTAGGATGCTATTTTTAGAATGCAGATATTTTATTTTTATATTGTTATATTGTTACGTTACATTGTTGTTAATTTTTGTTTTTTAATATTTAGGTCGGAAGTTGTTGAACTTCGTTTTTCGTGTATTTTTTTTAATTTTGAAATTAAATTTTTCTAAACGATCTAATGAGGGAAAAAATTTTTTTTGACTCTTTCAGATTACTGTAACCACAATCGGATACGGTGACACCGTCCCACAAACGTGGATGGGAAAAATAGTCGCCTCGTGTTTCAGCGTATTCGCCATATCCTTTTTCGCACTTCCAGCCGTAAGTTATATACATTTTTTTATTTTTTTATCAAACGTAATAGAAATTTTATATTTATTTGCCTTCCAACGAAACGAATAAACGAATCGAAGATTTCGCGATGTTAATTACAATGAATAATAATTTCGAATTTCATCTGGATGTACAAATATTTGATGCGCAACATATAACGTATTTATTTGTTGTATTTAAATATTTGTATACGTACGCAATAATATGATTCGAAGATATTTCGTTGTCAGCAAACAGTAAAAATATTTGACCATGCAAATACCATGATATTTGTTCAACATAGACATTTAATGCAAGAATGAGAAGGGGAAAAAGAAACATCTTCCGTCTTAATTCATTGATCGTAGGCAAAACATTTTCTCTTTCTATCCTTTCCTTATAAAACTATTTATTATTTTTAAACAATTGGCTGTCAATGGCTATAAATAATAATATTAAATATACACCCTTCTCTTTTTTATTACATCAACATGATCTATCTAATATAAAACCATTCACAATAGCCACGTGTACTTTTAATATCTATTAATTTCTATTAATTTATAACAATATCTGTTAATTTTAAATAAACATAT